ACGAAAATTAACTTTTTATAGCCTTAAATATGAACATTTACAATAGATTAAAAAAAAAAATCTGACTGACTGACCCAATTTTTCTGATTCTATATTATGCAAAACTAAAAATTAACTTTGTGCAGCTTTACATTGTAATTTGAAATAGATAAGTTTTTGTATTAACTAAACACACTACAGCACTACAAGTATTTAAATGAAAATTTACAGATTTAGTCATATTTAACGTACCGATATTTATAATGTTAAAATTATGGAGAATTTACTAATAAGGGCCTCAAAATGAAAATAATTACAAATAAGGACCTAAAATGAAAATAAATACAGATAGAGGCCCGATATTTGAAAATTATTACATTATTCTTGCTTGGATCTCTTTATTAAGCATTATGAAAAATACATTATAGGAGTTGTGCCCTACTTTGCTACTTCTCTTCTGCCATTTTATAGTGTGCCCTAGTATCATAATTATCATTACTTATAGCACGTAAGATAGTCATGTGACAAAGTTCAGGTGAGAATCAAAAGTACAGGCCCACGCTATGGTGTGGTGCATTCTACTTTACTTAAAGATAGCAAACACGAGCCAACGCTATGGTATGGCACATTCTACTTGCTAATTATAACAAAGGAGCAGAGTGCCAGGTGCTATAACAAGTGGGGGGTGTGGTGGACTAAACACTAAAGAGCCAGATCGTAATCGGGCAAAAGAGAACAAGCGAAAAATACAAGTGAAATACTAAAGCACTATCGCTTCAAGATCTATACCAATATGCATATTTAACAATAACTATTACACAAACTTACAAATCTGGGTGATCCTCGTGATAATAACTCTAGCATGACTATCATCAACGCATAAGGTCATTATTCTCACTCAGATCTCTTTACTAAGCATTATAAAGAATACATTATGGAAGAAAAACAGAGGATTGGATCAGACTAGTAATAGGGGGAAAAAGAAAGAAAAGAAAAAAAAAAAAAGGGGTTGCTCTAGAACCCTATTCTTGTCAAGGTATTTTGTAGTGTGTTGAGACTGATCTGAGATACAGTGCGACAAATTATGATAACCACCCTCTGATGCTCATTATTTGAGAAGTGTCAGCCCAGCCCTCATTACACTAGTTGCCCCACTTATATATAGGCTGTGGCCAGAATACTTACCCTCTAACCCTGCATGCTGTGCCACTCTTTTTACGACCTATTTACTACTCCTATTGTCATGTGCTTTTCAGATGCACTTAAGAATAGTGGGTCCTCATCTTTCCTAAACCTTCTTGATTCCAAATATTTGTACACCAGCTTTACTAGGCAGTATGGAGTGTTTGTGGCTTCGACTTGGATGAACTTCCCTTTCGCAAGCTGGTCGGTTTTAGACTTATTTATTCTGACCTAGCAAATTCCATTTTCTAATTTTAGATCACCTATCCGCAGGTTGCAGAGCTTTGCTGAGCGACGCATAGTTCAAAGGCCAAGTACGATCATCGCACAGTTATGTTTCTACATCATATTTGATGCGCCAAAGGGGGGTTGTCCATATAGGTTCTTAGTGCTTCTACAGGTAAGGGGTCACAGGCCCAGGTTGCCTCATGGTCTTTTGCTGCAGGTCTCATTAGGTTCTTCACCAGTGCCTGAACATTGAAATCAGTAGTAGGATCAGGAAGTCCTATTTTTAGGTGGTAATGGCTAATTGCAATTAGATACATCTGTGGTTTCATGGATTGTGACAGGATGTCAACCCATACTAAGAATAATATAATAGACCTGGGGTGTGCTGGGCACAGGGCCAGGTTGTGCAATCTACAAAAGGTAGTGAACTCATCCCACAATGTTTGAAGGCAATTTTGATAGGCTGAGTTCGGTAATAGGTGCTTATATGCTTTCACTAGTAGTGTATTTAAAAAAGGATTCTTACTGCTTGAAATGTTTAATGCAGATTTCTCCATGGCTCTGAAATCATATTCAATCCCAGACTTGGTCTGAAGCTTGTGGTTGCACAAAATAGGTTCATAAGTTCTATTTCTTGTTGAAGAAGATCAGCCACCAAGGTGCAGAAGTCCACACTGGGATTATTACTGTAACTTGTGTGTGGAATACTATTCTATATTTGAGTACTTTGTGGACTAGACTCAGGGGGGACATACATAGTTGTTTTCGTTTTCCTAATTTTGGGTAAAACAATCTGCTGCTTCTGCTTCTGGGCAATGATAGCAGCTATTGAATCGGGCTACTTTCCTTGTATGATAGCTTGCTATTTGATTTATAGTAAAGGGTCACCACCTTTCATTTATCACCCAAAATAAGCTCTGGGAAAGTGACCAGTCTGATTCGTCAGTTACTTTTGTTAATTCATCTGCGGGGTTTAATTCTAATTGAATCCACTGGAATTCATGAACTTGTATATTGTGTTGATCACAAAGACTGCATACTTTTTGCATTATTTCCTTTTGCTAAGGCCTTTTGCCACCAGCCTCCACTGTTCTCCGGGCGATCCAGTTGTCTATGAAAATAGTAACCCAGTAACGTGCTACTATTTTGGCAAATGCCTTGAGACCCAACAGCACTGCCATTGACTTCAGCAGCGCAATATCCTTACACTTGTATTTGTGCATGCATCTTCCAAAAAGCTCATTCTTGTCTGAGAGTCCTTGACCACCCAACCGTGGAAACATCCATGTATCTTGGAATTATTTGGGGTGGCTTCCAACCTAACCTTCCATTTTTCTTTTTCAGGTTCTTTAGTACCCAGGATATGTCGGTAAGTGCTTGCTGTATTAAGTATACTGGCTTATTTCACTCCTAGGAGTTCCTGTTTTCTGCATCGATAGTCATATAGAGCTCCAAATAGCAGACTTTTGCCTATACAAAAACCCGACTTAGGCTCATTAATTTTCGGTTACTGAAGATAGGTGGCGGGCTGTTATGATTTTTGTAGATAGGAGGCTTCTCAGTGCCTGTAGTGTTGAGTTTATTTTGGCCTCGGGTGCAGATACTATTCTCGTTACCGTATTCAAGAGCATTTCGTAAAACTTTGGTTGTTGTATGGGATTGAGGTGGCCCTTTTCTGCTATTATGAACCCACAATTCCTTAGATCCTAGAGTATAACTAAGTCTCTCAATTGTATTAAAGTATAGTGACAAGGATGTGCTACAAATATATCATCTACATGATTTCAACAAATAATATTATGTAACTTCCAATATCCTATCAATAATCTCATAATTTTGAAGAATATCCATACAGCTTGGTTTAGCCCGAAGGGCAGAATCCAGAAGTAATACCAAATGTTTTCAACCCTGAATTCTAGTAATTTTTGTGTGCTTTTGTCTATTAATATGTGGTGGTATCCTTTTTTTAGATCCAAAATGATTATCCACCAATCCCATTCAACCATGCACAGAAAGGTCTCGAACTTTTTGAACTTGAATGTCTTTTCCAGTATTGTTGTGTTTAAAGTCTGAGATCAATTACCAGGCACCACCTCTTCAAGCCCGATTTTGGGGTTAGGAATATAGGACTGCTTCTAATAGATATTTGGGTCTTTGTTTTAACTGGGCAACTAATGCAACTGTGTTTGTCTTTAAAGTCTTTCTATTTCAAAATCTAACCATAATTGTTGGTCCTTTGTTAGAGCGTACTTGGGTGGGTCTAGTCACATTGACAGTTCCAACAGCCCTTTCGGAAATAGCGGAATTCTATTTCTGAGCCAGTTTATGATAAGGTCTGGGGTGAAGATTTTTTTTTTTTAGTATTCTATGTGCTTCTCCATATATAAACAACCTACTACTGGAATTAATTATTGGGCCTGAGCATAGTCAATCATTTTTTGTATTTTCTTGCATTTTATTAAATTTGTTTTAATATGTATTTTTTTTTTTTTTTTTTTTTTTTAAGGTGAGTTTTGCCTTTATCTTTATTTAATCATTTGTATTGAGAATCCACAAGGGGTTTCTCCAGCCAAAGCCAAATTTTACAAATTTTTACAAGAATAAGACTCAGACTAGTTTATCTGCAACCTAAACCTACTAGAGTGGTTAAAACTCACCTAGATTTGATAATGTATAATATTATTAGTTGGTATACTATATTTAATCCATTGTATTGTCCATAGAGATATTTTTCGAATAGCTTTTCCAAGAGGTGGACATATGTTATCAGTATGTTGTTGATCTGTTTTTATATGTTGAGTATCCTTGTGAACAATAGTTAAAAGTATTTCCACTTGGGTCGGAGAGACATGTGTTTGCAAAGTGGCCAAGGCCTCCACAGGTATAATATTTGCCTGAAGTAGCTGGAGAACGGTTTTGGAACTAGTTGTATAGGTGAAAAAACTTGCTAGAGCCTAAATTACCGCCTTTGTAGGCCTCATAGTAATCATATCCCCCTTGGTAATTACTTTTCTCTAGATTTCAGGTTTTTTGCCATTTATTTTTCCTGACATCTGCTAAAGTCTTTGCCTTTTCAATTAAATCGTCTTTCCCTTTTAATCATTCGTCTTGCAAATTGGGCAAAGCTGACGCAATCTTCCAACCATATCCTTCAGCTACCTGTAATGTAAACATTCTATTTGCAATCTTTTCTCGAGTGCTGTCTATATAGTTTATGGCATCATGAACATTCTTTGACTCTATAGCAAGGTCAAGTTCTTTCTCTACTAAGCGCAGTGTATCATACTCATGCTGGTCACGAAATCTCTCGAATTTGTGGGTTGACCAAGCATCATTTATTTCTACTCTTTGGTGGGTATCTTGCATCTGAGCAGCCACTGAATTCAGCCTGTTGTTAAAACCCAAAACAGTGTTTACTAGTTTCTTAAACTCTAACAGCATTTTTTGTTCCAGGGTTTGTGCACCTTCATTTTCACCTTCTTTATGATACCTATGTTTCTTCACATTCCTTAATGTTTCATATGTGTCTTCAACTAAATGATGTTGCGAACTTTGTCCTTCCTCATCTTGAGGAGTGGCAAATCTTGATCATAAAATTTTTGTTTTTCACCTCATTTTTGTACAAGTTCCCTTAATGTTTGTATTTGGAAGTCATCTCCATGTACTTCATTCACATCATTTACTTTATTTGGATATTCTAAACTCGCTAAACTGTCCTCTTCATCATCAATATATATATCCCTTTTTGGTTTTTCAGTTTGTTCAGATCTCGTATGATTTTTAACACTTGAATGGTCTCTTATTCTTTGTGCTAAATCAGCTTTGGTTCCTTCTGTAGAGATATGAAGGCTATGGCAAATTTCCTCCAAATCATTTTTTGAAAGTTCGTGTCAGACATAATTTCTTTTTCCACTTCCTTTTCTTTCTTTTTTTTTTTTTTTGATTCTTCTTTTCTTTCTTTCCATTCTTCTTCTTTTGTCTCTTTTTCTCTCTCTCTTTTCTCTTTTTTTTTTTTGTGTTACTCGTTACTTTGATGTCTGTATGTTCCTTTTTGTTTTATTTATCACTTTGGATTGTTCGTCCTTCTGTCATTTGCTAGTTTGTATTTGTATTTCTTGTGCTGGGCACACATTGTTTGAACACTAAAGAACCGGATTGTAATCAGACAAGCGAACAATACAAGCAAAGTAATAAAGCACTATCACTCCAAGATCTATGCCAATATATATATTTAACAATAACTATTACACAAACTTACAAATCTGGGTGATCTTTACGATAATAACCCTAGTGTGACTATCATCAATATATAGAGTCTGATAAGGACACAAAATAATTATGCACTTAAGAACCTATAATTTAGGCCTAGTTTCAATATTAGTAATTCGAATATAAATTAAATGTACAATAAAATGATATTCGATTTGTCAACTAATTATTTACACTGTAAATTTATTTCATTGAAATTCTTGATATATTTCTTAAAAACCTGCCTACTTATAACAAAACCTATGTCAAATACAAAATTACAGATCAATATGATTTTTCTAACATAAAAATGTTCATCGGCTCTAAATAATTATTCTGTCGAATTTTTTTCTTCTTATAAGTTCAGAACAAATAAACAAAATAAGCTGTTGACTATTTGTTTTACAAACTAAACTAGTTCATACCCTTTTACAATTTTAGCTAACAAGTGCATTAGTAAGGATAATTCATTATGATCCAACTTGCTCTATGAAAAAAGAAGCTGCTAATATATCCCAGAAGTCTCTGAATTATTAGTTCAGGAAATTATCTGGTTTTTTGTTCTGAGAAATTCCCAATTGCAATCAGATTCTTTTGGATAAGTGCCAGAAACTGATTATATTTTTTTCAGAAAAATCGAGCATTTTCCAGAATAATTAATAAAAACTTTATTTTCAGAAAAATTTCGAATACATTGCAACTTTTATTTTGCATTTATATTAAAAACCTGAATGTTTTCTGGTGAACTTCACATGTTTGTAGGATTATAAATCAGAACATTTTATGAATAAAAACTGCGCATAACTGCATATTTTGTAATTAAAAACCCTATACAACCAGGTATTTCGCAAATTTATTATATACGAATATATAATATATAATATATATTATTTATGCAATATACATGCATTATACATTAAAATAGCATTTTTCCAGCAAAAAAAACTAACAATAAAATAGAAACTACAATGCCGTTTACTTTCTATTTTCTAGTCCTTTTAGATTCAGTTTTCTTCATTACTTGCTTCTTAGTTACACATTTCAAATGTACCATTGCTACTTTTTTTTTACCTATATATTAAATTAGAAATATAGACAGTAAGATTTTAAAATAATAAAAAAGCCAAGTATTAATTATGATTTGATACCAGAATTATTTCCACTCTGTTGCACTTGCATTAATAGTTGATTACTAATGTCTAATAACTTTTCAAATGCTTTTTTAGATTGTGTAATAGGCGCAGATAATTCAAATGAAGTGCTAACATCGGCTTCTAGTTGTTCAGATTCGACATCAATATTATCTTCAGCTTCATCATTGTTAGATTCGACTTTCTTCTTGGCTTGCTTTTTAGCTGCATATTTCAAATTTGTCGTTGCTGTCTTTTTTTTCCTATTTATTAAATTATAAATATAGTACAGTAATCTTAAAATTATAAAAAAGCTAAGTATTAATTATGATACAATACCAGAATTATTCTCAATCTGTTTCACTTGTTGATTACTAATGTCTGACAACTTTTCTTTAGATCGTATAATAGGCGCATGTAATTCATGTGAAATATCATTATCTTCTGGTAGTTAGAATTCAACATCAATATTATCTTCAGATTCATTATTGTTGGATTCAAATTTTTTTTTGCTTGCTTCTTAGTTGCATGTTTTGAATTTGCCATTGCTACCTTTTTTTTCCTACATATTAAATTATTTTATATTTTTTTTTTAATATTAATGGTGAGGCCATGCCTCTAACTTTATTGAATATTTAATTGAGATTATAACATAAAGCATTAATCTACTTTTAAAATATTATAAAAAGAATAGAAGCTCAGACTAGTTTATCTGTGGTCTAAACCAACTGGAGTGGCCATGGCTCACCTAAATTTGAGTATTAATGATAATGTATGATAAATTAGTTTGATATTTAATCTATTGTATATACCAAGAATTTATTTTAGAGCTAATATTAATAAAGGAGAAAGGTTGAGATAGATGCAAAGTAGCATTAGAATGTGAGTTGTTAATAGAAGGAAGGGCTGTTGATCTTGAAATGCAATAAGGAATCCAAATTTTATGATAAACTTGTTGGTTAAGGTAAAGTAGGAATTTTATTTCAAGTGTTGTTGCTGTTTTCTGGGTTGATAAGTTTGAAATAAGGGTAATAATTTCATCTGGTACTAGGCCATATAGTGTTGAAAAAATTGACGGCATGTCTAGTATGTTGTGTATTGACATACAATGTAATTGTTTGATTTGATTATATAAATTGTCTATTGTGTCAGAAGTAGTATCAAGAGTAGTTGTATTGAAAGTATATTATAGTAAATTGTTAATGAGGTTATATAGTATCTGGTTGGATGGGCAGATTATCCAGTGAAGGTGAAAACTAGTGTGATGATCTTGGTAACAAGTAGAAGAGTGTGCATGATTATGTATATATAGGTTGTGTGGAATAGGAAGTTCATCTAGAAGAATCTTAATTCTAAAAGATTTAAGATAAGAAAATCGAAAGCTATGTGAAAAATTAGAGATTTTTTGATTGTTATTTATATATAGCCAAGTAACTTACCAAATAATTTGGTTAAAAATCTTGTTCCATTTTTGAAAGTGATTTTGAGTGATCTATAGCGCGTAAATGTGAGCATAGCATATTTGTGAAATACAATATGGATATTATAAGACTTAATAAAGCTTATAAGTGTATTCTAAAGTGAAAAATATGGTGTATGTATATAAGATAAGGTAGTAGGTGAGTGCATAAGACATTGATATTTAGAAATTACAGATTGGGAGTCAGTATATATATGTATAGTGCTGTTTCTGAGAGCAGTAATTAGACTAACAGAATAGCAACAAGTTCAGACTTGAAGGAGCAAGGCCAGAGTTTTGTCTGGGCATGAAATATATGTACAATAGAGTTGTTAAAGACCTGGGCAAAAAATTAAAAACTTTTATATAAAGTATAGGTTGTCATTTTTAATATATTTTACTAATAAAAAAATTAATAATTCTGGTAATTAATTGTAGAGGTGTGTACTTATATTGTGTTTTCTTAAAGTTTGAATTTATTTTTAACTCAATGTCATTAATTTTTTGTATAAATATGAATAAAAATATAGTTAACTCTCTTTATAGTGAACTAACTATTATGTATAATAAAAATTATTAAAAGTTCTTTATATAGTAATTTACTGTTTCTATATACACAAATCCTATAATAAATTGCTTTAAAAAAATTCGTTTCAAGAAAGTTATATAAAAAGGTTTGTTAAAAAAGTTCAGTATAAAAATAGTTTATTGAAAAAGGTTATTATAAATATAATTCATTAAAAAAGCTTGTTATAAGCAATTTCATTGAAAAGAATTTTGTTAAAAAAGTTAGTTGTTGAAATAATTGGAAAGTTCTTTATAAAAAAAGTCTATTATAAGAATTTTTGATATAAGAAAGATAAAGTTTGTTATAAATGTATTAAAAAAGTTTATTGTAAGAATTTTCGATATAAGAAAGTTCATAAAAAAGTTTGTTATAAAAGGTTATAAAAAAATTTGTTTATATCTAGAGTCAATAAAAATTAAATAGGTAGAAAATCATATGACTGTTCCTGATTATTAATGATGCTGGTGTTTTTGTAGAATGGACATGCTTTGCATATATATTTTAAAATTATGGATAGAATACGCACATTAAAAATTTTAAATTCATATATGTTTTAAGCTTTAATGTGTTCTATATCTATTGACAAGAAATAGAATCTATATATATTGAAGATATTTGTTTTTTATACATTTAAAAAAATTTAGCATATGCTGCAGTACACCAGAACTTAATTATAATGTGCAATTTTGATGCTGAATTTTAAACACTGTTTAAAACAAAAATCATAGAATTATGTAAAATAAAATGACTAATTATAATAATAGGGAACTATTAATACAACCTCCATTTTTGCTAATCATCAGTAAATTTTTTAGGGTGATTAGTATCGATTATAATCTAAAGATATTAATCGATTAGCAACACCACCGTCGTA